GGAATTTTCGGATGGGATGTGAGAATTGTTAGTGCATTCAACAATCCTAGCAAGTGTTGTGTTTTTACACGTCGATATACTGTAGCAGCGTCAACGCAGCAAACATAACTGTGTACATTTTAACAACGACAGTGTTTTCATGATTGTACTATGTGCCTCTGATGATGGTTATATTAAACCGAAACATGTAAGGCAGAAGTGATAAAGAAGTGACCTAAAAATTGTTACACTGGACGGACTTTCTATTAACTTTACAATTCCTTAAATTTACTTTTTAATGAAGTATCATAGTGAGATCGATGAGTTGTTCTTGCTCATTTACATTCAGAGATGATGGCCCAGGAGCATTTTTGAATGGATTTTTAATCCAATTAAATTCATCAAAATCATTGCAAAAGTATTTCTCGAAATGAACTTTCAACATTATGAGATGATCAAGTAGGCAGTGTCAGTGGTACAAGATACTGACACTAGAGTAGGGAACATGTCTAGCGTGTCACTTTCCATACTGTTTCTCCAGAGCTCTAATTTTCTCATGAATGCCTTCACTTTGTCATTCCAAGAAAGTACAGTTGCCTCATTCCCTTGATGTGAAATGCTGAGGATATTTAGTTTCTCAAATATATCTGTGAGGTAAGCCATTTTCAATAAAAAATCCTTGTTGCTGAAACTGTCTGCCAGTGAGTGATTTTTCCCATTTAAAAAACAGAACACCTCATGCCTCAGCTTAAACGTTCTCTTTAATACCTTGCCTCTTGAAAGCCACCGAGCATCACCAGAACATAACAGAGCGGTGTGTTCGGCACCCATTTCCTCACACAGCATTTTAAGGAGTCTAGACTTCAGAGGATTTGTCTTGATGACATTGACGGTTTTTACAACCGTCTGCAGCGCTTCATGGAGGGGTGGGCCGAGTTCTTTAGCTGCCAGAGCCTCCCGATGTATCACACAGTGAGTCCATACTGCTTCGGGAGCAACAGCTTTAATTTTTGCTTGTAATCCAGCATGGACTCCAGACATTGAACGAGCTCCATCTGTACATATGCCAGTGCACTTATCCCATGATATCCCATTTTCATTAAAAAAAGCATTAATCATGTTGAAAAGGCTTTGAGCTGTTGCTGTTTTCAAGATAGGCTCACAGAAAAACAATTCCTCTCGCATATTACACTCATCAACAAAACGAACATACGTAATCAAATGGGCATCTTTAAGCATATCACTCGCTTCGTCCACTTGAAGTGCAAAGCACTTGTTACGCAACTTCTCAATTAAATGCTGACGTAAATCGTCAGAAATATCTGAAATTCTTCTACAAACTGTGTCATTAGAGGGGGATATTTTTCAGTTGTTGAGCAGAAGAGTCACCGAACATTGTTGATACTATACATACATACATACATATTTATTTCGTTCCAGAGATCTACAATTGGCAGTGCTGCCTTGAGATATAGAACATGTCAATAAAAAGTACATTTAAAATGATAAATTGTTAAAAATTAAATATCCAAGACATTTAAAAAGGCCACATATAATTGTAGTACATTAACAGTTGTAGAACACAAACAAGTAACACATCAAACCAAATCACAGACACGACACCGAAACAAACAACGTCAAAAATCAGGTGCCATTCACAACAATTATAAACAAAAACAGACAGATAATATTATATTCTAGATGTGACAAATAATAGGCGCAATCTTTATCTATAGGAAGCACAATCATTCCTTGATTTCCATTCATAATACTCATGTAAGGAATA